GGTTTATCGTCTTTGGATTTTGACTTGGGGCTTCTGTGAAGTGTGGAAGAGCTGCCTTTCGTCGGCTCGGATCCGCCCTTATCACTGTTCCATTGGATCAGAACGGGATGATTGGTTACCCGCGAAATCTGATCCAGATCATCATCAGATTTGCTGATCCGACAGTCGAAGGCCGTTTCGTAGACATGTCTTTGACGGGTCATGTCGTCTAAGCCATCGTCGTTGCAGGAAAGAACGTTTAAAGTCTTGCTAGTTCTTCTTCGTTCGCGAGGATCGTTTGATGCATCCCGAGATGATGTGCTGTGACTGTCGATAGATGACGATTTTTTATGCTGTCTAGAAACAGAACGTTAGATTACCTTCTCCAAACCTCATCGAAATGGAACGCACCTTAATTGAGGTCTGTTTCTTGCGACCTTATCTCGTTCTTTAGCTTCGTTAGTTTCACCCTTCCGATGCTTTTTGGAATGTTTGGATTTTTTATGACCTTCTCCTTTACTTCCCTGTTCTTTGTGAGTTTGATGCTTTACCACGCTGCTGTAAGCTGCCTTGGAAGATTGTGGCGGATGATCAGTTTTGTACTTAAATAAATCTCCGTAGTAGTAAGGGGAGGGATGTCTTCTAGCTGTTAGAATATCTGTTTTTGTGGGGGAAAGAGCGTCAAGAATTGCCTGCTGGGGAGCTCCTTCGTTTATACTGTCGGGGGAGTTCAACTCTTCAACAGTAAACTCTGGTCCTGTTGGGTACGCAAATTCTTCATCCGATGTCGGATTTGAAGACTCTTCTGAAAATTATTTCATGTTGAAAAACACATTTCAGTAAATTCCGGACTAGCTAAACACTCCGCTTTCCCTTCATACTTCACTTGCAAATCCCCACAATTTTCTTAATTGCTTTACCAGAGCACTTTCTTAATTTTAGTATTTAATTTGCATAATAACTGTATCGTCACCTACTCGAGTAGCATGACAAGGAAGAGAGCGCGTTTTCTCCCCTATCACTTTTGCCATTCCGCGTGTTTCAACGCTTTAGATAAATTCGCAAATTAAATTACTCGCTTCCAAGAAAAACACATTTTTTTAAATATATAAGCACTATTTTATAAAAAGTGTCACGTTCGGAAAACGAAATTAATTGCATATGCGCTTGCTTAGGCACGAGACATTTTTTCATTTTAAATAAGGATCAAACCTCAGACAGGAATTAATCAGTCCGTTAGTTGAGAGGGCTGAATCCCATATTTTAAATCCCGCAATGCTGAAAATGACACCGAACCAATGATCCGGTCCATTGGAACGTCTTTATCCCGAACAGATTTCAATCTTTCAGATATGGCAAAAAACCGGAGCAATCGATTAAGTTTGGACGGTTTTTAGGAGCATTTTACTCAAAAAAACAGCACTATCGATAACTCTTTCTGACATCTAATATAGGACATTTAAAGTGGAGACGCTAGTTCTATCGGTAAAGTGAAATTGAAGCTCTTTATGATTTTTCTTATACAAAACGACTTGGAAAATACGGTGTTGTTCGCAAAAAGCGGCTGAAAATGTCGGAACATTTTATGGTGCTGTAATAGGCGGAAAAGTTTCAGAACAACGAGAGGAACAGGGGAAAGTTGTGAATAAAATGAAAACCTCTTTAAAAGCAATGGTAAATTACCAACAAAGCCAATTCATTTTCACTTGGGTGAGCACTTTGAAACATTTTATTACTTAAATGGCTCATACTGGATATGCAAAGCTCAAAATCGATATAACTGGAGAACGAGGTAAATTTCATACATTATGCCGGAAACTTTTTAAATAAATGTATTTCCTAACTTTCAAACTCTCAATTGATAACGCTGGTTTACCGTTCGTATTTGCGTTTTCAAAAGTTGTCCACATTCAAAGTATAATAAGTAGTCATTAAATTTGACATAAAATACCAGTGTTCTTTAGCAAAATGATAGGATTCGTACATGTTTTACTTGCAAATGCACCAATAAGTCTCACATTCTTTGAACCAGGCATTGATAGATAGCCGAAATAGCCAAAATTAATGAAGACACAACGGACCAAATGCCTTTAGTAAAATGAATGATCTATTCAAATAACACAAGAAAAGTTTAGTGTAGATGCTTAATATCCTTATCTAATAATTACACGTGCACAACTTAAATAGAAACTCATATTTCACCTTTCGCTGTCATAAAGCCACCCGCCTAAAGCGAAAGATTCCGCTTGATGTATTAAATAATGAGATTAAGATTAATGACAGATTTGGAAGTCTGGTTTTTAATTTGTTTGCGAATGAGAAAACGAGAAATGTCATCTACTCGAAATCCGCTTAAGAAATGTAAACGGAAGCAGAGGGACTTCGCAGCTAAAGTCTCAAATTTTTCACTCGTGGCAGATATTTGATTAGAAAATCGATACACGTTAGTTTGCAGTTTATTTCGCAATTCTTCAAGTGAAATGAAAGTAAACTTACCAGTGGTGTAGGGTTGTGAATATTCTTTATCGGGGCTAGTAAAATATTTTTCCTCTTGGGTCAAATGTTGTTGGGAATCTCTGGGATTTGAATACGTATCTAAAACTACCACCTATAAATAACAGCTCATTAGAATTATCATTCAGACAAGAAATGGGTATAAATCCTGTGAGTATTCTGAATGGCCGACATCGATCAAATAAGGCCTCGAAAAGGAAATTTGTGCAAATACAATAAAGGCTTTTTACATCGAAATATGAAACGATATTTTCGCCAACATCAATATAATTAGCGAACGAATTTCCCTAAGGGAAAATGTACTGGGGAAAACACGGAGGGAGCCCATCATATTCAGTTCGAGATAGATCTGTCTTTTCATTGCCGTGATTAGCACCCTTTTGCACATAGTTATTCAACTATGACAAAGTTTGAGATTTCCGATATTGCCAGTGTTTTGTGAAGGGTTCAGGAATTTCGGTACCTAGATTAATTTAGACAGCAGTTATTAATTATAGCTTATCTATAGATACACTGGCAGGATTTAATTGTCATAGAATTTTGACCAAAGGTTAAAGTGGCTTATTAAATTAAATGATGTTGGGGGATGGTGTCTTTTTCTTCGGGCACATTTTATTTTGTCGTATTTTACTCATTAATTTCAAATAATTTTACGAAACAATCTTCTTATCTTCTCCTTGATGTTTCTCAAAATTACGAGAGCCGAACAAAAGCTGAGAACATTTTAAAAGACTCACCCTTGGTGCTTAACAATTGATCAGTATAAAAGCCGGGAACTTAAACTTTGCCTCCCAAGAACTGTGGAAGGGCATCCTCACCCTAGTTTAGAGCCGGAGAATTTATTGCATACACATCTCCCTGACATTATAAATTCTAATCCGATTCACAGAAACATAAACATGCTAGCACCCATTTCTTTTAGTAAATACATGCCGTTAGCCTTTGAACATAAAATCCGGGAAACTGTGAGTGCTGTTATTATTCATAAGTGGCCAGAGTTACGTTCTAAAGCCTTTCAGGTATTTTACTTTAACATTGCAAATTTGATTTTGAGTAGAGACCATTTCCACCCAGGTGCATTAAAAATGTATTAAAGGAAACCGAGCTCGAGTTGATTGATTGCCATTTTCTTTGTGGCGCAAATGAATCAACCTGAACATTTCGAAATCAGTGCACTTAGAGCCACAAAAGAAAAATTCTAATTAAACATTTAAAGTGGAGATTGGACTTGAGTGGCTAGCAGAGGAAAATTTTGCAAAACGATCGGATAATTTTACTCTTGTCTTTGAATTAATTGGCACATGAATTCGGAAACTTACATGGTCTGCTTCAGGACTGGAAACGATGAGATCAGAAAAGTTCTGAGATAAGAAGCAGTTATTTGATACCGCTATACTGTTCGGTCGCCTTTTTGCTAATTCTGCCAAATGGTCCGCAGGCAGGCTGTAATCTTCGCATAAGGATATCTGAAATTAATTTCGCTTTCATTACACAAACGATATTTATTATGTCATTGCTTTAAAACAACTGGCTTCATAAATGCAATCTCGCACCAACCGATTTCTCGTTTACCAACACAGCGGGATTCAAATGAATTCCATAGATCATTTCCAGCACAAAGAGGCCTAAGCCCCAAAATGCCATCAACGGCTTTCACACTTACCACGTGATCATGCTCACTTATATTAGGGAACGTTTAGAGGCTCATCATCTCTGAGAGTCTTTCACGAGTAGGACAGTTTTTGCGTTTTATAGCCTTAACCACTATGATTGGTTGGTGCTAATAATTTAATGATAGTCAAAACAAGCGTTTGTGTTTGTTTTTAGCGTTCTCTGGTCCAATTTCAAAGTGTTTCAAACTGAGGTGAAACATTTCTCGAATTCAGAGGTAACAATGCCGACATTGCTGATTTATCGCGACAGTTTCAAGTTTCAGTTCCGTATAGATTATAATCTACAGCACGAAATATAAGGCAGTGTTATATTGTAGAGCCCAAAGCTGTAATACATGATCTCCATTCTTGTCTTTTCCCGCATAAAAGATGGGTGTAAAAAGTGAAGGCCTTTGTGCGCCATCCCTTTCTCGATTCAGCTAATGGAAAGCATTTTGCACACACAGCCCGATTGTTCAGAAAATATTAGCTGTTTACGCTCGACACATAGACTTATTGACCAAATGGCTCCATTTACAGCTTTCCTCCTTTTATGATGATTAATCCATGAGCTCTCATATTTTGTACCTATACAATCCGAAATAGCTGTGCATTTATTTTTAAGTCTTAAGAAGCTCTAATACGCCGGATTCTTTTATTGATCCTGTCGAGTTTTAAGATGCGCCCCTACACAATGTAACTTAATTGAGATACTAATTGCAGAGTTGGTAGTTACATTAATTAA